ATTTCGTGCAAATCGAAAGATATATAGGGACTTTGGTGCCCCCAGTCCCTATAGTACGAAAATATATATGGGAGCTATATTTAAATCTGAGCCGATTTTCTCGAAACTTAACACACGTCATTCTGGACCTAATTCAGTACTCTGTGCCAAATTTCGTGCAAATCGAAAGATATATAGGGACTTTGTTGTCCCATTTACCTTAAATCGGACGAAAATATATATTTCAATAGGGTTCGTCCTTGGGCCAAATAAATGACTTGTGCCAAATTTCATCCAAATCGGATCATAAATGCGGCATGTATCAAGTAAAGTTTTTAAGTAAAAGCGGACCTTTACAACTAATCTTCATTTTTTATTATTTGTTATAAGTATATTTTCTATAAAACATTTGTTAAATGTTTAAATTGTTTTCTTTAAGTGTAAACTATTAAAAAAATGTTACTCAATTTAAAAAAGTTACCACTGGAATAGAAATATTAGTTTCGGTTAGACCACTAACGTACATGATTGTATGATGACGATGATGTTGAAACACAGTCAGGTGGTTAATGCAGCGGTCTGTGTTGGGCAATTTATAACAAAAACATTTAAAATCTTAACAAAAAATAAGGAGATAGATTTATAAATGACTTTATACGACTAATGCAAAAAATAGTGCGATACCGGAGATTACTAAACCCATTTTCTCTTTTCGTCAGATTTTTTTGATGATTATCTTTCAGTCAGGCTCTCACACACTTACTCTCAATTTAGTTCTATTCAACACTGCTTTATACAATTGGCATATAGGATCGGAGCAAATTTTTATATCGAAATAAATCTTGCTTGAAATAATCGTGATAGTTTTTCTACTTCTCATCATGTTACGGGAGAGAATATAGTGTAATAATTATGGTTATAATATGTACACGATATAACTTTCCCTCTCTCTCTCTGGTATAATCTTTAACATAAAAAACATAAAAGAGCAACATAATCAATATCTCTTTGTAAATCTCTAATTTTCTTGTGGTTTTAAGATAATAATTATAAATTCTTATCTTGATGTTAGGCAATTCACAAATAGATTTGTTTCGAGACCATTCCTTTTTTAAAAGATTACGCACAATCTGTAAAATATCAGAATGTTATGTATATAGTTGGTGACGAGCACGTGTACGTAAACATAATTTTCATAGATAAAAAATCAATCGATAAAATACTAAAACAATTTGTGAATTAGTTGACATATAATCGATATCGTAGATAATGTAGATCATACGTTACCATGAACCATGAGTGGAGAGAGTGCGTATTTTAGTTAATATAAATCATACGCAACCTGGGAATAATAGCATAAGAGTATACCGATTTTTTAATAGGATCTTCAAAAAATATTTTTAAAAAAATCCATGCCTTTTATAGAACCTCACAAAATGATTTTCATTTAAAAAATCCAGGAATTTTTGTAGGTCGATCGATAAAATACTAAAACAATTTGTGAATTAGTTGACATATAATCCATATCGTAGATAATGTAGATCATACGTTACCATGAACCATGAGTGGAGAGAGTGCGTATTTTAGTTAATATAAATCATACGCAACCTGGGAATAATAGCATAAGAGTATACCGATTTTTTAATAGGATCTTCAAAAAATATATTTTTAAAAAATCCATGCCTTTTATAGGACCTCACAAAATGATTTTCATTTAAAAATCCAGGAATTTTTGTAGGTCGATCGATAAAATACTAAAACAATTTGTGAATTAGTTGACATATAATCCATATCGTAAAATCGTTACCATGAACCATGAGTTTTTTAGTTAATATAAATCATACACAACCTGGGAATAATAACATAAGAGTATACCGATTTTTTAATAGGATCTTCAAAAAATATTTTTAAAAAATCCATGCCTTTTATAGAACCTCACAAAATGATTTTCATTTAAAAAATCAATGAATTTTTGTAGGTCTGTAAGCCTTTAAAATATTAAAAAAAAATCCACGCCTCTTATATTCTCACACAAATATTTTTACAAAAAAAAAAACGCCTTTTTAAGTCCCTTTAAAACATATTTTTCAAAAATTCTATTTTTTTAATTTCCTTTAAACATATTTTTTAATAGGATCTTCAAAAAATATTTTTAAAAAATCCATGCCTTTTATAGGACCTCACAAAATGATTTTCATTTAAAAAATCCAGGAATTTTTGTAGGTCTGTAGGCCTTTAAAATATTTTAAAAAAATCCACGCTTGTTTCCACACAAATATTTTTACAAAAAAAAAACGCCTTTTAAAGTCCCTTTAAAACATATTTTTCAAAAATTCTATTTTTTTTTTTAATTTCCTTTAAAAATATTTTAAAAAAGTCCTCGCACGCCTTTTGTTCTCCACGTAATTATGTTTTAATAGTTTGAAAGCCACTGCTTGTTGCCTTTTTCTCCAAAACGCCTGAAAGTATGCTTTGGTTTTTTTTAGAGAATAAAGCAACACTGCTATTCAATGAAGCAACCGCCAATTAATGCATTCTTTTTTTATATTTTATGCGATTTTATATTAAAAAAGGCAATTATAACCCATTTTAAATTAATTAGCGCCATTAAAAGTGAACATCAAATGGAAAATGCTAAATAATGGAACTATTGGCTCCATACACTTTTTTTATTATTATTGACATAATACATTAACACCGACTTTTATTTCAGTTAACACACAATTAAAATAGATTTGTGTACGCACATAACGACAATGCGGGATGATGATAATAAAATTCCATTCTTAATAAAAAATTGAATTTCACATAGTTATGGTGAATTGAAAATATATGTATTGTAGTAATCGATATTCATGCTCAATTTCATGTTTGAAAAAAATCAAACGATCAATTTATGTTAATTGAATAAAAAACGACAACAACAACCAACAACACATGATTGCTAATTTTTCAAACCTAGTAACAGCAAAACAAATAAAGCCCTTATGCTACGAGACTAATGCGTTGTGAATATGATATTGAAACACAAATATTGAAATGCATGGACACACGTGCAATTAGTTTACATCATAACAACAGAGGGTGGGGGTAGAGTACTAGGTTAGGGGGTGCGGCAGTGAAAAAAATCTCAAGAAATATGTCTCCTCCATTAAGCACCACCACATCATATCGTCGGCCGGCCTCAGCGATCATAGCAATTTATTTTCTGTTTCATTTACAAATCAACATGACAACAACAAAAACGAATAGCCATATTAAACAGACAGACATTCTTACATTCAAATGACTGACCTTAAGCGGCAATTACAAGTGTAATTTTCTGTGTGTGTTTGTGTGTGCATACAAAAATATATTTAACAAACATTGATTTGTAAAGAAAAAAATAAATAAATCACCAATGATATCGGTAATGGGTTATTAGAATTGAAATGCATTCAAATAATAAATTATGATTGTTTTGACATCTTATCGTATCGTCGTTTTGAAAATATAAGTGACAGAATAAATATGGTCTTTTGACAGCTATCTAATTCAATGGATTTAATGGACTAAGAAGGGAAAGCATGAAACACATTATAAGTAAAAAATCCATGATTTTTATGGACTTAAAAAAAATATTTAAAAAATTGCATAACTTTTATGGACTCTTTAAAAATATTTTTGAAAAATCCACACTTTTCATTGACCCTTTACAAATCCACGTATATGATAGGTCTCCCACTTTTTTAATCTACGACAATGGTTTGTTCACCAATTTTTTTTAATCTACGCGTATATATATTTCTATAAAATCCACGCCAATTGCAAGTCTTTCAAAAATATTTTTAAAACCAGTAAGGAAAGAAGGAAAGTCGGACGGGGCCGACTATATGATACCCCTCACCACTTTGGGTATATTCGACAGATGAATTCGAGCGGACGTCGCATTTTTAAAGGACCAGTAAAATTAAATTGGATCCATAAACATGCCATTCTGCAACCGATACTAAATTTTTCATTTGGTCAGATATAGTAGCTATATCTAAATCTGAACCGATTTCAGTAAACTTAACACACATAATTCTAGACCTAATTCATTACGCTGTGCTAAATTTCGTGCACACCGAAAGATATACCTTAAATCGGAGGAAAATATATATGGGAGCTATATCTAAATCTGAACCGATTTTCAGGAAACTTAACATACATCATTCTAGGCCTAATTCATTACGCTGTGCCAAATTTCGTGGAAATCGAAAGATATATAGGACTTTGGTGCACCATTTACATTAAATCGGAGGAAAGTATATATGGGAGCTATATCTATATCTGAACCGATTTCAGGAATCTTAACACACATCATTCTAGGCCTAATTCATTACGCTGTGTCAAATTTCGTGCAAATCGAAACATATTAAGGGACTTTGGTGCACCATTTACATTATATCTAAATCTGAACTGATTTTCAGGAAACTTAACACACATCATTCTAGGCCTAATTCATTACGTTGTGCCAAATTTCGTGCAAATCGAAAGATATATAGGGACTTTGGTGCACCATTTACATTTAATAGGACGAAAATATATATGGGAGCTATATCTAAATCTGGACCGATTTTTCCCAATTGCAATAGGGTTCGTCCTTGGGCCAAATAAGTGACCTATGCCAAATTTCATCCAAATCGAATCATAAATGCGACCTGTACTTTGTTCACAAAAATACATGGACGGACGGACATGCATAAATCTACTCAGAAAATGATTCTATGCATATTCTCAAAAGGAACCATGTGTCTATCTCGTTTCCTTTTGCCTGTTGCAAACATATGCACAAAGACACAGTGTGGTGAAGGGTATAAAAATTCACGCCTAAGGTAGGTCTCCGAAAAATATCAAAAAACAATCCACGCCTATTATAAACCTTTTGGATTTTTCTTCGTAAAGATGGTTTTTTGTTTATAAAATTGAATGTCCCTAAGTACGAAGTTTTCCTATATAGTCCATTATATTATCGCATTAATTCTTTAAAATGCACTTACCATTCAATAACAATTGTGAATCCTGTTTATTGGGATCGGGTTCCTCTTCAATACTGAATTGATTGGTTAAACCTATGCGTGGTGACATATTGTCAACACTGCTGGAAGAATGATGATGCGAATGATGACCCCCGGCCGAATGATGGTGGTGTTGATGATGATTTAGACGATGTCTGGAACTGCTGGCACTTTTCGATAATGGTGTACCACCACCGACACTGCTGCCATATTGTGAACGTGGTGTTTGCTGTGGAGTTGTAATACCATTTTGCATTTCAAAGGATTTATGGGGATCCTCCTCCACATCCTCTACAACATTATTAGATGTATTCGAAGAATTAATACCATTTTGTACGGGACCACCAAATGTGTCCAATATTAGACGTGGTGTTGGTGTATTCCACCATTGTAATTTGGCAATATTTGCTTTGTTCGTGTAGTGTTCATCGTATAAGGTGGTTGGAGGTGGTAGTGGTGCTGGTGTAGTCTCTTTGTCTAAGTGGTGAATACTTTTATTTGTTGCAGCATAGTCTGCACAATCGGTGGCTGTTACTTCTTCGCCCAGTTGAGAATCATGGCCATTGATTAGAGGTACTTCAGCTGTTGCTACTTCTGCTGTGCAGCAAGCAGCTGTGTTATCCTTGAGAACTGTGTATTTTTGCATTTTCGATTTTTTGTTTTTGATTTTTTCAAAATAAATGTGCGTAATTTAAAATTTTTGTTTTGTTTTAAATTATTTTGTTTTTGGTTCTAAGCGAGTTTTTTGTTGTTGTATTAAATGTTTTTTGTTTTTTAAATTAACTTTTTGTTTCTTTTGTTTTCTTTTATACAAAAAAGTCTTTTCTTAATTAAATTTTTATTTTCTTTTGTAATTTATTTTATTTTTTCTTTTTGTTTTCGTTTTATTTTATTGTAAAGTCCTTTTTCTTAGCTATGTTATATTGTTGTAATTTATTTCTTGTTGTTGTTCTTTTTCATAGAGCAGTAGATAATGTCAGCTTCGCAGTTTCTTGGCTCCTGCAGCAACCCTTACATTATCAGTAGCAGCATCAGCAACATTATCTTCCAAACTGATATTTTTCATTACTTCCTCCATCAGATGACCACCATCACAACATGGCTGATATGAAAAATCTAATAACACATCTAATGGTTGACTGAGTTCCATTTTGAAATAATATGAATATAAATATTGTCACGGTGTATGTCGTATCGGAAAAAGAAATTTAAATCAACCAGAATTGAGATGTGCTATGACAAGCAAGGAAGGTGTGCGGCGTTGATGAATTGAATGTCAATCCAGTAATGGTGTTGACAAGCTGCCCGGCCAGTTTCAAAAACCTTCACAATTGTAGCAGTTATGGAGCGAGCTGGGTTCGTGGGGTTTTCAATTTCACCCTTTAATCAAATTTCCGCAATTTTTTAATCTCCCGGCGTGTTTTTCTAACGATTGCGTGCACGAGTTTTTAAACGTCTTCGCTTTAGGTGATGATGCTGCTGTGGCTGTAAATTATGCTGCCAACTCCAATAATTGACTGGTATTGATGACAAATAATGCTGCTGCTGTTGTTGTTTCTTTTGTCCATAGACTAACTTGTTCAACCTCCACCACCAGCAATTTGTATCCTTAATTATCAATCATCCATGGCAGAGCTGTTTGAGGTTAGCTAATTTGTAATTTATATCGTCGGGATCTTCGTCGGGTCCTCCTCCGCCGCTACGTTTTTCAAAATAGAATTGTTCAATGTACTCTTTTTGCAACAACACCAATGACAGATTCGATACTACAATACCATGTACAATTGTGTTGTGTGGAATTTTAGGAACTGATTTACGACCACCACCAAAGAATGTGGATGCTGCTCTACGCAATGCTGGGGTGGTATGATATCGGGCGATTGGGAATACTTCTAGTGGTCCGGTGCTGGCTGCTGCTGCTGCTGCTCGTACACCTGTACGATGACAATGTCTTCGTTGTCTACTTCTCAATTTTAATTGTTTTTTTGAACTTTGAACTGAATGCATTACGATTTGAACGAAAAAAACTTTAGAAAACTTTTCGGTTTTATATAATAAGCGTTTAATTTTTTTTACACACACACACAGACACACAAAATAAATGGGCTTAAGTACTTTTTGTTTTTAATTTGTCTTTTTTTAATTACAATTTAAAACGGGGTGATTGACTTGATTTAACTTTTTAAGTACTTGGTTTAAAGGAATTTTTTTTCTTTTCAAAATTATTTCTTTACTGATTTATAATTTAAATATTTCACTTTTCTTTTTTCATAAATTGTTTACAAAACTTCCTTTCAATATTTTAAATTCAAAATGTTGTTCTCTCTTAGAGTGTGCTTTTGTTTGTTTTGTTTTACATAAATTTACAATATTTCTTAATAACAAACGACAATTGTTGTTGCTGTTCTAAAAATTGTTGTTGTTGTTGAACTATAACTAATATTGTTGAGTAGTTGTTTAATAAAAAATTATTATTAATTATAAATTGCTTATTACGTTTACTAATTGTATGCATTGATAAAGATGATTTAAATTTTTGTTTCTCATGCACACTCTGAATAATCTTCATATTCATTTCGCACAATTTCCACACTCAAGTTAAAGGGGGGACGACGACAATATTGTTGTTTTCAATTTTTGCTCTTTAAATTTCGTTGATACTTCATTGGGATCAATTAAAGTATTTTTTTAGTTTAATTCACAAATAATTATTTGATTTGACTTCACTGCATACATAGCATATTTTTAGGCTGTTTGGAGTAGAGTCCGTGTTTCGTGTTTCAGGTCTAGCTAGACTTGCAATTCGCTTGCCGGTATATATTAAACTAAAATGTCTCAGCTCTCTATTATAGAACCGTAGTGACGATGACGATAATGATGTTCGGCCAACACACACTGCAATGAATCTGTTAAAGAAGACAAAGAAGAAGAAGAATAAACATTAATAAACATTCATATGTTGCTCAAAAAGAAAATCAATAATAAAATGGCATTTCGAAAAAATGCCAAAACCAATGTGGTCGGGTCGTTGGTTGGGTATTCTTCTTCCACATACACATTTAAACCCATATATTTTGTTGTTGTTGTTTTCATGAAAATTTCTACTGTTGCTTTGTGTGAATGAATTCTTTGTAGGTGTTGCTGCTCTATTCTGCTCTGCACGATTCCTGACAATGTTACGCATTTTGCCATGAGTATGCGCAATGATGATGAATGGCTGGGTTGCTTTGACTTCGTTTGTCGTCACATGATGCAAAAATCATCATCATCATCACCATTAACAACAACAAAAGCCCAATTACACACACACAGGGTGGTGTAGGAAATTGCCACGTTTTATTGGAGGTTATTTCTTTCTGTTTTAAATGAAATTCCAAAGTTCAGCAAGAAGGAAAAAATGAGAGAGAGGGCCTACAGGACGATAATGCATATAGAGTAAGTAATAATACTATTTTTTCATTTCTATCAAGTGTCAAATTTAAAAATATGAAGGGTCATAGAGTGAGAGGAATGACATTTAAATAATTTAAACATTGAAAACTATTTAAACGGCCAAACAAATATTAAGAGATTCTTATTTTCAAGGCGTGGATTTTTTAAAACGAATCATTCTTTAGGAATTTCAATGAACTTGGAATTATAAAATTGTTTTAAGATCAACAATGGGCGTGGATTTATTAAAGAAATTTTTTCATTAATATTTTTTTCTGATAAGACGTGGATTTTTAAAGAAAGCTTTTCAAGGTTCTTATAAGGCTTGTATTTTTAAAGAAAACATTTTCAAATATCTGATGAGGCGTGTATTTTTTAAAGAAAACATTTTCAAGCCTCTTATGAGGCGTGTATTTTTAAAGAACATTTATTCCTGGGCTCACACAAACCGTAGATTTATTTAAGAACATTTTTTCCTGGGCTCCCACAAGCCGTGGACTTAGGCCTTGAGTTAACCTACAAGCTGGATTGCAACTGTAGTGTTTTCCAAGGAATCAAAGGAATCTTCGCGATTAGGAAGGCAGCGGAATTGATAAAAAGTCTGGATGCAGAGGTCGTTGAACCGGTGACTATCTTTGTGGGTAGTCAAGCGGCTCTTAAAGCCATCAAATCTTGTTAAAATCTGAGGCGTCTTCAAGTGTAGAGCAGCTTTGGAAGAACTTACAGCTTATCGGCTGTGTTGGGTACCAGGACATTGTGACAGGATTTCAATCCATAGATTTAACAATTGATGAATCAATAAAACCACCCATATGTCATCTTTACCGGGACTTTGAGGCGTTCTTCGACGAAAGAGCCTATGAACTTTGGCACAACGAACCTAGGTGCAACGTGTCAAGATCCAAACCTAACCTAAATAACTATTTTCCTGTGTTTTCCTGGGCTCCCATAAGGCGTGGGTTTTTTAAAGAACTATTTTCGTGTGTTTTCCTGGACTTCCATAAGACGTGGATTTTTTTGAAGAACTATTTTCCTGTGTTTTCCTGGACTTCCATAAGACGTGGATTTTTTTAAAGAAATATTTTCCTGTGTTTTCATGGACTTCCATAAGACCTGGATTTTTTTTTAAAGAAATGTATTGAAGAATATTTCTTCCTGAGCTCCCATAATGGGTGAATTTTTTAAAGAACTTTTTTCCAGTTGTTTCCTGGACTTCCATAAGGCTTGGATTAGTCTGAGAATATTTTTTTCTGAGCTTCCATAAGGCGTGGATTTTTTAAAGAACTATTTTCCTGTGTTTTCCACGACTTCCATAAGACGTGGATTTTTTTAAAGAACTATTTTCCTGTGTTTTCCACGACTTCCATAAGACGTGGATTTTTTTTAAAGAATATTTTTCATGGGCGAAGGCGAAGAATATTTCTTCCTGAGCTCCCATAATGCGTGAATTTTTTAAAGAATTTGTTTTTCCTGTTGTTTCCTGGACTTCCATAAGGCGTGGATTAGTCTGAGAATATTTTTTTCTGAGCTCCCATAATGCGTGAATTTTTTAAAGAACTTTTTTCCAGTTGTTTCCTGGACTTCCATAAGGCGTGGATTAGTCTGAGAATATTTGTTTCTGAGCTCCCATAAGACGTGAATTTTTCAGGGATA